TATGTTTAAGTGCAATCCTATTTAGGATTATTTCTCAATTCAAAATACAAATATTTGTGTGGCATTAAAATTATACAATACTTTTTTTTAACAAAAAATTACACAATTCTTTAGTTCTAACTTTTTCGAAACCCGTTTAATAAACAAGTAAAAAAATTGAACTATAAGAGTTAAGAACTAGCAACATAAATATATTTTTTTGGATAAACACACATGTTGATTTCGGGACCAAAACCTTCCAGATTTTTTCTTCAATATAGCACAATTTAAAATTTAAAAGAAATAATTTCACACACACTAACATATACGGAGTAGGTTTTATCATTTATGTACGGCTTGTACAACAACTGAACAAATTTAACGTTTGCATCTTCCGTTAAATTGTTTTGGTTAGTCAAAGGGGTCTTTTGCCCCTTTTTAAAGTTTGTTAAAGCTTTTTGCTCATAAATTAAGTTTGAGGGCATAAATCCTCCTTGGTGCCAACTTGAGGGGTGTTTTTTCCCCTTTTCCCTTTTTTGTGCAATAAAAGACCAACTTCATATTAATCCAAATATTGACTTGGAATGACTTCTTATTGAAAAACTGGCATGTACTAGGCATATTATTAATGGATTTTTTCGGAAAAAATATGACTAGTTATATTTTTGGATAAACTTATGACTAGTTCAGTGTATATGTGTAACTGGATATGAGAATAGGAACTTTTATTCCTTGTTCCGGGCTCCGAAAAAGTCCCTGGTCTAATCATGTTTTTTAAGAAATCGTTTTTTAATTTAATACGGAGTATATTTTAAACTCCCCTCATCCCTTTCCACCCTTTTTCGTATGCAAAAAATGATCCAATTGAATCGACACCGATTTAAAATGCGTCTAATAGTTCGAATGCCAAAAAAAATGATCAAACCGACCAATCTCGTCCGAGAATAGGAAGCCCGATACATGTCCCCTTGAATTCGACTGGTCTCCTAATCGAACCGCTACTATGGGTCCCGCTTTGGACTTGTCCCAGAACATAGACATTGTCCATCCCTAAGCATTTAAATAATCCCGGACCGATCCACGTTAGTTGGGTCATATTTTGGGCCTAGTAGGGCCCACTCTCGGGATGGGCCGATATATAGTATTTTATCCGGCCCATTATCCCAACACTCAATATGCCATTTAATTAGCTCATTACATTGTTTTTTTTTTTGCAAATGGAAAACTTAACTATTATTAATGGCATCGGTGTTCAGTACATGCAAAATATCATTTGGAGGAAAAGAAAACCAACAATTAGAGTCAGACATAGAACAAGCTGCTTGAGCCAAAGCATGAGCTGCCCTGTTCGCTGATCGCCTAATATGAGAGAAGAAAATCTCCGTAAAACCAGCCCCGAGCTCTCGAATATCTCCATCTAAAATCCCGCCCAGTGAATCACTTGAGCCATGAAGAATTTCCGAAATTGCCTTTGAAGCATCTGATTCAACCTCTATAGAATCCCAACCATTAGCCTTTACCCAACTCAGAGCTTCCCGAAATTGTTATTTCTGCATTAAGAGAGGATTTCACTACTCACACTTTTGATTTGCCACACAAAGCACAAAAGTTTGTTAGTTAAGCTAGTTGTTAGAACATACTCCCTCCGTCACCTTAACTTGGTCCTGTTTTACCTTTTTGTCCGTTCCGTTAAGTTTGTCTCATACCATATTTGGTAATATTTTTGTGGCTACAATTCATTTTTACTTTATTCACACTTTATCAATTCAATATCAATCACACAATTTTAATTTTTCTTAAAAACCACACCACACCTCTTTGTCCCGGGGGACCTACGTAGTATAAGGTTAATCATTTGGGAAGAATTGTCCACTCCTCACAGACACTTTCTATGAAGCACTAAATCGAAGTATAAGAGTTGTGATTCACTAGAGTTTTTGATGTTAGAATGCCTTCGGTGGAAATTTTAGACAAATAATGTATCTCATTCCAAAGGACACGAGACACGACATTAATTTTATTGCTAATTTTAGCACATCATTTCTTGTGGGACGATTCATGAATTGCCTAAGATTAATGATCACATGTATCTATTGGTCATTTAAGGACACATTTTAAAAATTCTTAATAGCTACTAGAAATGTACTTGTGTGCGCAGTAGTGCATCCAAGTTAAAGTGTTTTTTTTGTCGATCAACTTTAATTTGTACATAAAAACGTATGCATTCAAGTTAACTACAAAAAACCACACGATTTGCGACAAAAACAGCAACGGAAAAAATGAAAATACAGACGGATCTTATAATCAGAGACGGTGTAGAGACGGAAATTATCCGTCGAAATACGGTGGTTGCAAAGTCTAGCTACGGAATTCAGCGACGGTTTTAAAAAATCAATGACGACTTTGCAGCCACTTTATCCGTAGCTAATACAGACGGATATATCCGTCGCTCTAGGGCTATATTCCTTTTCATTTACCGACGGAAATAACCGTCTCTAATTGAATTTAATTTAAAAAAAAATTTACGGTTTCATTTACGGGCTGTGAAAAAATAAATCACGCCTGTTCCAGCTCTCTATACACACTAGAACAAATTTACCACTCATCCAGATCTATTCAGTTTATAAACATTAAAACATGCATATACCAAGTAATACAAAGTACATATAATTGCTACAAGTACTATGGCTTCTTAGTTCAAGAAAGTTTTATACTGAGTTCATTAGTTCATATAATATCTACGAGTAAAGATTGCTCTGTTTTTATATTACAAAGCAGATTAATACTGAGATCATACAATATCCACGACTAAAGATTACTCTGTTTTTGTAAGTATTACAAAGCAGTTTCATAGTACTACACATATTACCAAAAAAGAAAGTTAGAACGTAATGTTCTTACATACATTTCTAATTAAACAACAAATCCTCCCTACATACACAGGCAGAAACAGAACATAGCAATATTTCAGGTTCTTAACACAGGCAGAAACCGAACTAGTGGATTTGTATGGTTTAGGCTAGATATATATGTTGGAAAATATTCCATTTAAGTGCCCTTGGACCATTTATATAATTTAATATAAATTGGGGACATTTATGTCTTACCATTAAGTTTGCCATATGACAGATTTGGTCCCTATATTTATGTATAGTTAACATATGATACAAGATATGTTTTAACATTAAATAATACATAAGGGGCCAATGAGGTTTCTCTTTGATACAAGATATAAGGCTCGTTCGTTCCTCTTACGACTAAAACGAAAGAACGTGTTTCTTCCCAAAGGTCTCAATAACACCTATATTAAGAGACCTAAGGGAGATCGTTCAATCCATCGAAATCCGCTTGTATCCTTAGAGAATCTATAATCAATGGCTTCATCATCTTCTACAACACAATCAAAGCATGGTTTCTCCCCAACCGGTTAGTGTTCTTATTGTTTGATTATATGAATTTTATCATGTTTTAGTGAGATTAGATCCTTAATTGGGACTGAATTTCTCAACATATGGTATCAGAGCCGTGTTAATTCTTGCTTACCATGATGAAATTCGTAGTTTTCAATCTGCCTTGATATTATTTCCGTTGGATTCTAAACTGATTCTTTTAGTTTAAGATTTCGTTGTCTGTATACGAAATGCCTTAATGAAATTCTGGTGTTTTATACTTTTACGTTGATAAAATTTGAAGTTTGAATCTGCTCAAATGATTTATTTGTTGTTGCCGATTTTGTATGAATCATAATTTGTATAAGAAGTGCCTATCCCATCTATTAGTTATGATTCTCATATAATTCTATTTCTGCATATGAAAGTGATGGCTTTAAATGTATTGGCACCGTATTACAAAGATAAGTGTTGGCTTTAAATTGTATTCTGCTTGTTAAATGGATTGAGTGGCGACATCATCTAGCACTATCAGTTTTTTGAATATGATCGATGCTTTTCTTTTTCATTGTTTAAAACTCAATTCTGATGTTAACCATTACTATGGGGTTTTCATTTTGATGCATCCGTTGTAAGAAGTGCCTGACACCACACCATTTAATGATTCACTTCCGCATATACATATGTGATATGTTAAAGTGATGTATATGACTATGTCTAAATTTCCGTATGCATTAGTCTGTTTCTTTATTCTTGAACTTAAATTCAGTTTTAAAATGAATGAATTTGGTTGATCAAGATAAGTGCGTAGTGTACGTGTTTAAATTTGCCGATTGTGCAGACGGAAGAGTACAATCTGCTACAAGTGCAGATAATGTTGTTGGTTTGTGTTATTGATTAAGATCATATAAACACGTAAACGATCTGCTAATCTGATCATTTGCAACTTGCATGATGCTTAAAATATAGTCCATGATTTAGGACCAATATTGCATCAAATTCATATTTGCTACCATATTCGAAGTTGTAGTATGGATTACTGATTGATTATCTTAGTGTCAAATTTAATGATCGGCCCAACGGAAGATTATTGATTTTGACTATCTTATACAATTATATGAGTTTTCAAATAACAAACCCAAAGGTGTGTTATTTGATAACTTATGTAATGAAATTTAAGCATAAATGAATGTGTTATATTTCTGCCCAAAGGTGATATATGACATATTTGCAGCCTAATTTTAATTTTAATATCATAATGTTTGATAGTTAGCATTAGCCAACGCAATGTTAGTTATTAAGCATGATATGAACTTTTCCTATTATTTGGTGTTGATAATAGGCTTATTTACTAATAATTGACATTCCTTATTGTATTCCATTATATATTATGAATAGCTTCTATTATTGCCTCTCTTAAAACTTTTATTTCAGCATCTACTTTTACCCCGTACAATTATGGGATAGAACCTCTAAATGGTACAAACTTTTCAACATGGAGAGAATCTATAAAACTCTCATTTGGCATGATGGACCTCGACCAAGCACTGAGAATGGATCCACCAAGTGCTCCTAATAATGAAAGTACTGTGGAACAAAAGCATTCTTATGAACAGTGGGAGAGGTCCAACTGAATGTGCCTCATGGTGATTAAGAATTCCATATCTGTAGCCATTCGCGGAGCCATTCCTGACTCTGAAAATGCGAAGACCTACCTAGAATATGTGGAAGAACAATTTAAGGGCACTTCTAAAGCACATGCCAGTACCCTAATTCTCAAAATGTTGACGAGTAAGTATGATGGAGTAAGTGGTATTCGTGAGCACATCATGAAAATGTCTGATATGTCTAACAAGATTAAAAGTATGGACATGGAGATCAGTGAAGGTTTCCTCGTTCATTTCATAATGACTTCTCTACCTGCGTCTTATGGTCCATTCAAGATCAATTACAACACGCAGAAAGAGAAGTGGACAATGAGCGAGTTGATTGCTATGTGTGTTCAAGAAGAAGAGCGCCTTAAAGCTGAAAGACCAGATGTTTCTCATCTCACCACCACAAACTCAAAGAAAAGGAAAGGCAACCGTCAAGGAGGAGGAAAAGGTAACATTTCTAAGGTCCCAAAGATAGGTGCAAGCGTGAACTCTGGTCCCTACTGTAAGTTTTGCCGTTTCAAAGGGCATTACCAGAGGGAGTGTCCTAAGTTTAAGGCATGGTTGACTAAGAAAGGTAACTTAACCACTTATGTTATTTATGAATCATTGAACACATCAGTTCCCCTTAATACTTGGTGGATTGACTCTGGTTCAATGGTTCATGTTTCAAACACACTGCAGGGATTCCATTCAATCCGGACATTGGGAAGAAAGCAAAGATTGATTAAGGTGGGCAACGGAGAAGAATTAGAAGTGGAGGCCATTGGAACTATCTCATTAATTTTATAGAATGGCTTCATTCTTCATCTTCGTGATGCTCTTTATGTACCTAATATTACTCGTAATTTAGTGTCTGTATTGAAACTAAGTGCTGATGGTTTTACATTTAATTTCGCATACAATAAAGTGACAATAAGCTTGAACTCAAATGTAATAGGATTTGGTAGCATGGAGGGAAACCTCTATAAGTTATGCTTAGACACTAATTTTATGGAATCCCCATTGTCATTTAATATAACTGAAAATCCTTGCAAGAGAAAGAGAGAATTGGAATCGTCGTCCAATTTGTGGTATCAAAGGTTGGGCCACATATCACGAGATCGAATGATAAGACTCGTGAAAGACGGCATTCTTCCAAATCTTGACTTCTCAGATTATGACAAATGTGTGAAGTGTTTGAAAGGGAAATTATCTAAGAAAACTAAGAAAGACGCCACGCGAAGCACCGGTTTGTTAGAATTAATACACACGGATATTTGTGGGCCTTTTCCCGATTCCATTAGTGGTCATAACTCCTTTATTACTTTCATAGATGATTACTCACGCTATATGTACCTATATTTGATTAAGGAAAAATCTGAATCACTAGATATGTTCAAGGCTTATAAAGCCGAAGTTGAAAATCAACTTGATCGAAAGATCAAAGTAGTGAGATCGGATAGGGGTGGTGAGTTCTATGGTCGACACACTGATATTGGTCAAGCTAGCGGTTCTTTCCATGAATTTTGTAAAGATCACGGGATCATCAACCAATATACCATGCCCGGCACCTCTCAACAAAATGGGGTTGCCGAAAGGCGAAATAGGACTCTTATGGATATGGTCCGAAGTATGTTGGCTAACTCAAATCTTCCCCAATTTTTATGGACCGAGGCCCTTAAAACAGCAACCCACATATTGAATAGAGTACCATCTAAATCTGTTCCTAAAACTCCATATGAGTTATGGACGGGAAGGAAACCTAGTCTACGGTACCTAAAAGTGTGGGGTTGTCCGGCTGAAGCAAAAGTGTATAATCCTCAATTGAAGAAACTTGACATGAGAACCATTAGTTGTTCCTTCATTGGCTATCCCGAAAGATCTAAGGGATATAGGTTTTATTGCCCATCTCACACTACCCGAATTGTCGAGACTCGACATGCTGAATTCCTTGAGAATACTAACATTAGTGGGAGTAGTGATGGTTCAAACACTAATGATGAACTTCAAGAGGGTACTGGAATGAATCCACTTATTATACTGCCCATTCCACCTAACTCACCACTTGAAGATCATAGTGAGAGTCATACGCCTCATAATAATGATGCAACAAGTCAAGAGGCGAATGAAACTCCAATAAATGTTGAACCAACTCCACCTGTTTCTAATGAAATTCCAGAAAATCAGCAATCTCTAAGGAGATCTCAAAGGGTGAGACGCCCCACAAATTTTGACGAATATTTGATATATTTAAATGAAGAAGCCGACTTTGATTTAGGGAAAGTCGTTGACCCTATATCTTTCCTTGATGCCATTAATTGTGACCAATCGATTCATTGGAAAGAAGCTATGAATGAAGAACTTCTTTCCATGGAGAAGAACAATGTTTGGGAACTTGTTGAATTACCAAAGGGTCATAAGCCCGTTGGAAGCAAGTGGGTCTTTAAAACTAAATTAGATCCAAATGGAAACATTGAAAGATACAAAGCAAGATTGGTTGCTAAGGGCTACACTCAAAGGGAAGGTGTAGATTATCAAGAGACCTTTTCACCTGTCTCTCGAAAGGACTCCCTAAGGGTCGTTATGGCTTTAGTAGCTCACTTTGATCTTGAGTTACATCAAATGGACGTCAAAACAGCCTTCTTAAATGGAGATTTACACGAAGATGTTTATATGATACAACCAGAAGGTTATGTTTCTAAGGGTCAAGAACATCTAGTGTGTAAACTCAAGAAGTCTATTTATGGGCTCAAGCAAGCGTCTCGACAATGGTACCTCAAATTTGATGAAGTCATGAAATCAAATGGCTTCATTAAAAACAAAGTAGATCAATGCACTTATCTCAAAATGAGTGGGAGCAAATTCATCATACTTGTGTTATATGTTGATGACATCTTATTAGCAAGTAGTGATCTGGATTTATTGCATGAAACAAAACGCTTATTATTTGGCCATTTTGACATGAAAGATTTAGGTGAAGCTTCTTATGTTATAGGCATTGAAATTCACCGAGATCGAGTCAAAGGGACGTTAGGTTTGTCTCAAAAGGCATACATTGAGCGTATTTTAGAACGTTTTAACATGCAACAATGCTCTCAGTTGCTCCAGTAGTTAAGGGAGACGTTTTTGGGTCATTTCAATGCCCAAAAACCGAGGTTGAGAAAGAGCAAATGAAACTCATTCCTTATGCTTCTGTAGTTGGAAGCCTGATGTATGCTCAAGTTTGTACTCGTCCAGATATCGCATATGTATCCGGCATGTTGGGTAGATATCAATCTAACCCAGGATTAGATCATTGGAAAGCCGCTAAGAAAGTTTTGCGGTATCTTCAAGGGACTAAAGAGTACAAACTTACTTACCAGAGGTCTAATAATTTAGAAGTGGTGGGATATTCCGATTCTGACTTTGCTAAGTGCAAAGATGATAGGAAGTCTACTTCGGGATACATTTTCTTGCTGTCAGGTGGGCCAATATCTTGGAAAAGCCACAAGCAAAGACTTACGACTACTTCAACAATGATGGCTGAATATGTTGCGGTGTACAACGCAACGTGTCATGGGATGTTGCTAAGGAATCTTATCAAAGGATTCAAAGTAGTAAATTCTGTCTCAAGACCGCTAAGGATTTATTGTGACAATTCCGCGGCCGTGAGCTTCTCAAACAATAACAGTTCGAGTGGAGCGGGATTGTTCCTTGATACAAAGTATTTGTTCGTTCGAGAAAGAGTGGAGGAAAACGAAATTTGTATCGAACACATCAGCACGAATAATATGCTAGCAGATCCTCTCACTAAAGGACTTTCGCCCAGTATTTTTCAAAGACATGTCACTAATATGGGCTTGATGAAAGATCCTGTTTAGGAAATTATAGCGCAGTGCCTGAATAACTATCTTATGTATTAATTTCAAGTACTTGATTTAAAATTCCTCCCTAAGTATGTTTTGTCTATTCTTCATTGTGCACACAAAGTTATTTTAATAGACAAACATAATACCCTAAGTTTAATGTCATTTGGCTTATATTAATCCTTATACTCTTTAAGAAGTGTCAAAGTATGATTAATGGGGGTCCCGGGTTATATTGACCCGTTAGACTGTATTTGTTTGCTTTGATATTATTATGGAGTAAGATGAATTTTTCTTGGCCAACTAATACTTTAACTTATGTATAATTGTATAAATGATCTCAAGGTCAAGTGGGAGAATGTTGGAAAATATTCCATTTAAGTGCCCTTGGACCATTTATATAATTTAATATAAATTGGGGACATTTATGTCTTACCATTAAGTTTGCCATATGACAGATTTGGTCCCTGTATTTATGTATAGTTAACATATGATGGGTATGTTTTAACATTAAATAATACATAAGGGGCCAATGAGGTTTCTCTTTGATACAAGATATAAGGCTCGTTCGTTCCTCTTACGACTAAAACGAAAGAACGTGTTTCTTCCCAAAGGTCTCAATAACACCTATATTAAGAGACCTAAGGGAGATCGTTCAATCCATCGAAATCCGCTTGTATCCTTAGAGAATCTATAATCAATGGCTTCATCATCTTCTACAACACAATCAAAGCATGGTTTCTCCCCAACCGGTTAGTGTTCTTATTGTTTGATTATATGAATTGATGGAGTATATGGCCCAGGAACCCCCGGCCCATAGACTCCTACTTCTCCTACACAAGTCCATTGAGCCCAGAGGACATCTCAGGCCCAAATACAACGGCCCAAGCTTCAAAGTAGCCCAGAATACACACTGGGGTGCCTTCGGCCTCCTTGACCGAAGGCTCCGAAACTCACAGGATAGCCTTCTCTAGCATAAGAAGCTGCTGGGAGAAAACGGGCGAAAACATGAGCCTTCGGCATTCTTACGCCCTCGGCTACACGAGGAGCCTTCGGCAACACGATGAGCCCTCGGCTACACAAGAAGCCTTCGGCTGGACCTAGCCCCCGACCACACCAGGGAGCCCTCGGCCAACACAATGAGCCTTCGGCTGAACAGGCTCAATCATCGAAGATTCCTTTTAGAGACGGCCAACCACCGCATTTAATGCCACGTCACATCCGCCAACCGCATTCAATGCGGTTGACGTACCACTGCCAGCACCACTAGGCTGATGTGACCCTTCGGCCGTTGGATTACTGACACGTGTCCCCTCATCGCATTTATTGCTGCTATAAATAGCAGCCTATTTCTCCTTGTAATCAACACAATCTGCATCTTACTCCACGCTGAGTTCATTTAATAAAATCGACTCTCTCTCCTCCTATTTGCTCTGACTTCTCTCTAGTTATTTCCGCAATAACCCCTCGGATAAGATACCCCCCGGGTAGACTGTCCATCATTTGGTGCTCTCGTTGAGAGGTCTGAACTATCAAGTAAGAAACCCTCCCCCTCTACCAGATACAAAACACTTACCAAAAAATGGGAAGAACCACCCGTGCCCAATCCAAGACCCTTGAGGAAAACTACGTAGCCCCCGGCGAAACTAACGGGGCTGAGGCCTCCAACAGGCTCTTAGTACCCGAGGGCGGTGTCATCCTCGAATTAGAGCAAGCCACCGCTGACCTACGCCAACAGCTGCAGAAGAACACCCCTGATGCCCGCATTGGCCTTGATAATCGAAGGAGGGATCGGAGTGAGAACCAAGTTCCCCCTCCGGCCCCGGCCATCGATCTTCAGGCTGCCTTTGCGGCCTTTGTTCAGAACATGGCTCTCAATTCCGGAGCCCTCGCCTCTCAGGCACCCCTCCAGCCCTATGCTGGAGGAAATGTTATTCAATTACCACCGCTCCCTCCTCTGTTCACCAATCCTCCCCCGGGGATTGGAAACGCCGAAGGGGTCATGGCGCAGGACACCGCCTCCCAAGAGGCCCAATCCAGGGATAAACGTCCCTTGATGAAGGAGAAACCCCGGACCTCTGCACTCGAGAGGCTTGGGGGAGCTCCCATACGCCGAGGGGTCCAAGACCGCCTCGGCAAACAGGAATTCAGCAGGCCTCAGGAGAGCGGAGCCTCCGCTTCGGGAGCCGAGGGCATACCTCCGCCCCGAAGCAAGGGCAAAGCAATCCTCCATGCCGATGACGCCAGACACCAGATCAACCAGGCGCAGTCCTTCCGGGCTAACTCCCAAGGGGTTGCTCCGAAGGATCCCAAGGACGAAATTATCGAGGCCCTCCTCCGCCAACTTGAGGAGAATCGTCAGGCGCCGCCGACGGCTTCCACAGCTAGGCCAGATCCAGAGTACGCTGACCTCCGGGCACAGGTGGAGGAAATGAAACGTAAACTTGCCGAAGGTTCAGGCGAGCCCCTCATTCAACTCCGCACTAGAACCCCCTTCACCCCAAGGGTGTTGGCGGCCAAAATCCCCCACAAATATCGCGGGCAACCCATCAAGCCGTATGAGGGGAAGACTGATCCCCAAGAGCATTATAGCCGCTATCAAAATAGCATGATGATGATGGGGGCCTCGGATGAATACTTATGCCGTTGGTTCCTTTCCACCTTGGAGGGACCAGCGTATGAGTGGTTCAACCGGTTGCCCGAAGGCAGCATTGATTCTTGGCAAGAACTTGCCCACCGCTTCCTTACGCAATTTGCTGGGAGGCATCGCTCAAAGAAACACTTCTCCCACCTCCTAAACGTGAGACAACAGAAGGAGGAAACCCTTCGGAGTTTCCTGGAACGCTGGAGGCAGGCCTCCCTCGAGGTCGAAGGCGCCGATGACAGGACGCTGATGGCCCTCTTCCACACCGTCCTCCGCAACGGTAACTTCTCTCGAAGCCTTATCACTGATCCCCCCCGCGATTATACAAAGGCCCTTCAGCGGGGGGACCGATACGCTGAAGCGGAGGAAATCGAGAAGGACCGCCGCAACACGGATCCTTCCCAGAAGAATGAAGGCAGGAATCGGCCCGGAGGACCTCCCCCTCCGGTCAACCGAGAAGCGCAATACAACGATCGCCCCCGAGGTGGCCAAGCCAGAACCGGGGGCGGTTATAAGAATAATCCGAAGGCATGGGCGCAACCCGTCCTCCTTGAGCACCCACGCACTCCCTTGACGCATCCCGTCAGCGTCATCCTTGATCATGCGGAAGAGCGGGGGCTCGTTGAGCGAGACTCCCGTACACCCCTCGAGATCTATGCCATCGGCCCTGATGAACCATATTGCCGCTTTCACCGCCACCATGGGCACAAAACCGACGACTGCCACCAACTGAAAAACGCAATTGAGAGGCTGATACAGGCGGGCCACTTATCTCAGTTTATCAGGGGCCCTCCTCCCCAGGGCCCCCTTCATCATCAAGGGCCTCCGCCGAAGGCAAACAAGTGGGTAAACCCCAACACCATCCCCTTGGGGAACCCACAGGGGAAGAAGCGAGAAATTGGGGGCCTCGAAGATGAGGGGGAAGGCTCCCATCAACAATACAAGCGCCACATTCACATGATCAACGGCGGGAACACCGGGGGCGATACAACAAGCCAAAGGAAGAAATGGGCGCAGTCCCTTTACATTGGGGAAGTTAATCACATGCCCCCGACTAAGAGGCCGAGGGCGGATCCCATCTTCTTCACGGATGCGGACCTCCCCTCGGGTTCTCTGCCGCATAGGGATGCCCTCGTCATCCGCACTGAGATCAACGACGCCATCATCCATCGGACTTACGTCGACACGGGGAGTTCGGTCAACGTCATGTATCTCAGCACTTTTCAAGAATTGGGACTCGACAGGGGGTCCCTTCGGCACATCAACACCCCCCTCTCCGGATTTACGGGGGACAGCATAGACGCCGAGGGCGTCATCACACTCATGGTCGAATTCGGCGACGGATCCCATAGAGCCAAGCTCGAAGTGGAGTTCGTCGTCGTCAACCTCGACTGCGCACACAACATCATCCTCGGTCGGCCCGCCCTCGAGGACTTGGAGGCCGTCATCTCTATGAGGCATCTCTGCCTCAAGTTCCCCACACCCATCGGCATTGGCTACTCGAGGGGAAATCAGAAGCTCTCCAGGGCCTGCTACCTTCAGCTCACCAAGAAGGTTAGTAAAACTGAACTTCGTGTTGACACAATCACCACCAAAGCCTTAGAAGAA